CTTTAAGATAGTTATATAAATCAAGATGAGGAGGGCACCTCCATCTTATACTGGGCACTGTGAAGCTTGGAAAGTGACATTTTCAAAAATCTAAATAAGGACTGGAAAGATGGCTCAGTGGTAAGAGCACTTGCTGCTCTTACAAAGGACTGGGGTTTGGTTTCTAGCACCCATAAGGCAGCTCACAACCACCTGCAACTCCATTTCCAGGGGACCTGATGCCCTCTCTGTCCTCTGAAGATTCCAGGCACACATACGTACGTGCAGACAAAACATACCTATACAGGAAAACCTCAGATAAACTACTTCTTGAATGTATCCCAAACCCTTGTTAAAGAGACACAAGACAGGAAATCAAAGGTCAAATATTCCCTAGGGCACAGGAACAAAAGGAAATGGGCCCAGGGCTGGTGTTCCACCACCTACAATAAACACCCCGCAAGCCACTTCTCTTTCACACTGACTATTTACACAGACAAACCAGAATTATCACGTGAGCTGAGAATTCTCTATGAAAGTACTGTCACACAGCGCTCATCATGAAAAACAGAGCCTGTAACACAACAAACTGATGTACTCAGAGCAGACTACCTCTTGTACCTCTTGCTTCCGTTCCCCACCCCATCCCACCCTCGATCGCCTCCCTCTATATTAAAGCCCTGGCTGGCCTCAAACTCATGGTTCGGCCTCCCAAATATTAAAATTACAAGTGTAAGGAAAGAAGATTAGCTTTACATTTCTCAAAGAATGGAAAAATATTAAACAAGCTAAAAAAGTTATACTAACAGCTTCAAAGCAGAAATGCTCTTAGGCAGGCATGGATCCCAACCACTCTGAACTAATGAATTATGTAACTTAACCAAACTATAAAATAGGTTTTTTTTTTTTTAGTACAGGCCAGCCTGACTGAGCCTCCTGAGTTGTTAGCTTACAGGCAGGCATGTACCACCATGCTTGACTCCACATAAATTTAAATGTTAAATGTGAAAGGTGGTGAAAAATGTAAGATTACAGCTGCACCAAAGTTAATGATCATTTAAATTCAAAATATGTGTTTCCCTCCATTTACAGTTCTAAAATCAATGCTAAAAAATTATTTGTAACTGAAGAGACTTCTTCTATGAGGGGAGTTTTAAGAGCCTTTTTTTTAAAAAACAATGTAAATATTACAGAAGTAACTTTCCTATATAAATATCTTTCAAATACTATCTTTTCAACTAAGTATCCTTCTTGAAAACCTAGCTACCTAGAATTACAGCAATAAGAATGTAAGAGCACTCTAGCCTATGGGCTTTAAGTATGAAAACAAAAAGCCTCAAATATAAAAAGACCACATTTTCCTGAAAACAAAGTCATGACTTGGTGTTAAAGAATACTGCACTAGCCTGAGAATATGTTCAAAACAGTATGAATTTTTTTTGCAACTTGCTCTTAATACAATCACCACAACCTGGAAGGAAGTCACTCTTCCTATTTTATAGAGGACACTAAAGCTCAGATTCAAGTTGGCTGGTTAAATGTCTCAAAGCAAGAAATGGAAGGCCCTTCCCAATAAAGCCCCTCCGCCCCCTGTGCTCTCTCTCTCAGAGCTCTACAACACAAACCTCCCACCCATCTCCACAAAGTACAGAAAGCAGTGCAGGTGCGTGGTGTAAGAGCCCAGACTTAGCTTGCTGGAGGAAGAGCACTTGTTTTCCTTCTATACCCCAGGAGAAAACCATTGCATAGGAAATCGTGCACTTTATTTTGGTAATTATCTGCTAACTAAAATAACAACTACCTGATTATAAAAAGCCTCTTCCAACAGTATTTCATATCACAGCTGATGCTTTTATTCTTTCCTGCAGCCAAGCCAATAAACACTGTACATGCAGACAGGGCTATTCCTGCTCCCACCTCCATCTGGAGACGCTGTGCCACATCCATTTCCCTTCTACCACCTAGGAGGCAGACCCAGTGTAAGAACTTCAACAAGGGAGAAAAGCTCAGGCAAAACCCACTTACTGTCCCATCACACTTCACTGTAAAATATATTCCAGCAATGGCTTACCATAGGCTATGTACTACTAGTGTACTTTAAAAATAATTTCTAGTCAATGTGATAGATCATACCTATATTCCATACTTCTGAGGGAGGGAAAGGGGGAGCCCCAGTTCGAGCCGAGCCTAAGTTACAAGGCAAAACTGTCTCCTGCAGCTGGGAAGAAAGTGAGACTTAAGTTTAAGTCTCCTAAAAGGAATATCAATACTGAAGTTCCAGTATAATGTAAGGGTACGGAATCATCCACATCCCATTTCAAAAGCTATGAACTCTGGGTAAAACCACAGTTGTATATGTTTATTCCTGTTTCTCTGACGTGTACTAGAAAGCACACTCTCCAGATACCTGGTGGACTTGTCACCAACTACTGACACTGTGTGACACGTGTTCTATCCCAAAATGTCTTCGGTTGTTGTTTTTTTTTGCTTTTTAATTAACAAATCCGCTTTATAGTTATTAGGCACAACACTAGGAACAGTATTCTGAACCAGAATACTTTAACAAAAAATTAATAATCGTTTTTCTTTATCCATTCGGGGCGTATATGCTTCTCTTAGTCATGAACACTAATAAATACAAGTAAGCAATGAGAAGCTGCATACCTGTAGCCAAAGTTACTTCCGGGGCAATTAAGTGCAACCCCACGAATTTCCCCTGTATCAGGTCTAAGCCTTCACCAACCCTGGGCCCACGTGGTTCTCCACCTCCACTGCCAGCCTTACACGGAGGCTCGGGCCCGGGAGGGGCCAGGGCGGGCCGGCGCTGGTCACGTGGGCTGCGCGGCCGCCATCTTGCGGGGGGGGCAGCCCCGACTCCCGCTGTCTGAGGGCACACGACCCCAGCGCCCTCGGGTGGACCCCGCGCCTTCACAAGCGGCCGGAGCGCGCTCTAGTCTCCTCCCTGCCGAATCCGCCCGCGCCCTCCCTAGCGTGCTCTTAGGTCATCGAAGGCCGAGCAACAGCTGGGCTGGACCGCGGGACTCCGCACTTGAAACAGTCCACATGCACCAGCAGCCTCAAGAATGACAGCTGTGAGCAACAAGATCCGCTCAAACATCAGGGCCAAAACGGGCGTCAGCTGGAGGACCTGGGGACCACACAATAGCCTCCTCCCCACGCACACCCGTCCACAAGGTGGGACCGTAGGTGTTTCAGGCATAAATGGTTGGTTCATCAACTACTACTGGAGAAACATGCGCAGCATACCAAGCGCGAAGCAATAGCCCCAGTGTAGCACATTTAAATCCGCAGGATTTATTCCGCACTCCCACTTCCTGAGAAGTGATGATGTGCTGAAATTAATGGCAGGATGCCCAATCTTCTTTATCCACTCCTCCCAGCACTCACTGATGGCCAGAAAAGGCCACGCTCTGCAGTCAAGATAAAAATCTCAGTACTCTCATTAGGACATACCTACCCCTCAGTCTGCTACACAATACATTAAAAGCAACAGGAAGGAAAAGGAGACTCCTCAAAGTTAAAATTCTGCAATCAGTGATCTACCTGTGTTGGTATAGTATGAATGGAATTATGTAAATTGTTCCATTGTGGGACATTTTCATCAGACCAAATTCAAGGTTATCTTTATACTGTGACAAGAAAACACGTTCCAAACTCATGTTCTCTTCTCTAAATTTAACAGCTCCGTGGTGTCTTTTCAGGCACACTTAGTGAGTAGGCTGAAGGGTGAATGAAGCTTTTACCATCATTACACACACGTGGATGCTGGTCGTAGAGTCTCTAGAAGATGGTATGATTTTACAATCACCAAGAAAATGAAAGGTTCCAGCTTTACTACCTCTGAGTTTTGTAAGATTTATAACAGAACAAAAACTATCACTTCACAAATGCCTTATGTCCTCAGCCAACATTATGTCTAAGGTCCTTTGAGACTGATCAGGAACACCCGGGTTCTTGGGTAATGAGTCTACACAATCATTAGTGAAGCATAATTCTCAGTCTAGGATACTGAATGACTGCTGATACATGCTAACTTTCAAGCAAGGAAGGAAAGGAAATCCCCCTTCTTAAAGTGGAAAAGCATGGCATCTAAATCAACACTTTTCACAAAAAACTAAGATCTTTAATCTACAGTTTTTACTGCAACTGAAACGTAGCCCTATCCTCCTTTAAACTGTCTTAAGTGGTTTATTGGGCCTAATTAAATTGCTTTCAGGACTGTAAAAATTCTTTAATGTTTGCGACAAGCGGACTCCTATGTACTCCGTGGTGTTTTAATAACTCTTTTAAACAACGTCAACGCCTATAGTAAAGACCTAAGAGATCACCAGACCCAAATCTGGAAGCAGAAACCAAGCCCTTCAGGAAAGCTTGTTTGGCAGTCTGTTAAAGGCTTAGCCAGGCCATCCCAGGCCTCTTACCCAGATGGCTGGTGTTAGTACTTTGATCAGCCAATTCTTAGGTCTCCATTTTTTTTTTTTCTTCCCTTCAGGGAATACAAAGTTCTGAGTAGAAGCCAAAAGACCTATTCGAACCCCTTAACTGGCACACACTAATGCCACAGGCAAGGGGAGTGCCATGGGCTAAGGCGGTTTAGGCAGGCTGTCTGACCCACCCAGGGCTAGACTGCGGCTGACAGGCCCCTCTAGCGCTTGGCTCTCCCCCCTGCACCTAGTGCCCAAATCCCAAAATGTCCCACGAGCCTCCTCATCCGAGGTCTAGGGTCAGGGGGACTCGACGTCTTCCGTGACAACTCGTGCACATTGGAGGAGAATTCGAGAGCATTCTGTTATGGCGGGTGGCTGCTCTACGTGCACGAGGGTGACTGGAACTGAGCCGCCCAAGAACATGATGAGGACTACCCTGGGCCGAGTGCTGGGGTGTGGTTATTCCCAGACACCTGCACGAGGCTGGGGTCCCGGCTGCACGCCGAAGCCCCGGAGGGCGAGGCCGGAGCTGCCAACCGCACCGACGCTCTTCCGCATCCCCAAGCGCCTTACCTGGGCTCTGGAGCCCGCAAAGTTGCAAGGCTCCACCTCCGGGTCCTCGGGCTCCACCCGGAGCGCGCTGCGGAGCTTCTCCAGGTGCTCCCTCAGGGTGACCCGCTGGTGGAAGGAGAAAGCCGGGTGCAGCGAAGCCATGGTGAAGAGCAGCAGCAGTTCCTCCTGGGCCCTGAAGCCGAGCCCGCTCCCGGACCCGAGCGCGGCACAGCCGCCGCCTTCCGGCCCGGGGCCGTCCTTCTCCGCGTCCCGCTCGCCCTCGCCGCCCGGCTCGTCCTCCACGCTGCCCCGCGAGCCCTCGGCCCGAGTCGCGCGCAGACTCCGGAGCACCGCGTCCACCTGGGGCAGGAGGCGGTGCAGGCGGCCGGCGGCCTCCCGGTTCTCCGAGCCCAGCAGCGCCAGGTAAACGATGAGGCGCGAGCGCACGGCGGGCTCTCGGAAGTCTGCCAGCGACCCCGGGTCCGAGAGGCCGTTGGCCTTGGCCTCCGAGTCCCGCAGGTAGTGGTAGTCCTTGCGCGCCAGGTCCTCCAGGCACGAGCCGAGGAAGCGCAGCTCCAGCGGGTTGCACAGGTCCAGCAGCCCGCACATGAACTCCAGGCGCTGCGCCGAGCCCAGCACCAGCCCGAACCACT